TGGAAATGATATTTGTCAGACTTTAATTATCATACAAGTGTTCTTCCCTATTCATATTAATAATTGAAATAATTACTTTTTAACAAAGATATAAATGTGTGGGTTCAGTATGAGTTTTTAACATATTTTAAAAGTTTCATTATTGTTTGTTCAGGGTTCAGAGATGGATGTTTTAATGATGCATGTTTCTACAGAACACTCAGGAATAATTTATTACTTTGGCAGTTTGTGGAACTTTACATTATAACACAATTTTCATTTTAAAATCTTTGAATTGATGTAACTGTAGTGATCCTAGCAAATACATTTTACAGAGTCTTTCTAAATGCTAGGGCCAGCAGAAGATTTACCATATTCTGACAGTATTCCATATAGTGCAGGTAAAACTTTCAGAAAGAATTTTCGCATGTCTCTCAGTTTTTACCTCTGTAATAAGGGGCTAGAATTTATTTATTTGGTTTATGTGACACTCCATTTCTGAATACTCCAGCAGTTTACATAACAACATAAAAAATCAGTAGTATAAGTGTAACAGCAAGAAAGCTGATTAAGTCCCAATGCCTTTTTGTAGAGTGACATTTTTTGCATTTCTTTGATAATATAATAGAGAAAGAGAGAGAGTGGTCCTAGAGACTGGGGAACCATCATTTAGAAGGCTCAAGCAAGGGTCCCTGCAGATCACATTCCTTCAGATTTGTAACTCTGAGCAAGAGAGCAGTTTCAACATAGAAAATATATGGTCTGGGAAATATCCAGTCACTCATTTATATAGTAACAACCCAGAGTTCTCACTCAAGGCTCAAATGATCAAACTTAAATTATCCTACTTTGTACACCTTATATGGAGGCCTGGCATCTCAAGGGAAGGCTCTAATGCTGGGTAAGGTGGAAAGAAAGAGAAGAAGATGACCAGCAGCAAGATGGATAGACTCAGTTATGATGGCAGGGAGTGCACCATTGGAAGACCAGATTAGAGACAGTTTTTCATGGAGAAAATCAATTTATGTGGTCACTAAGAGTCGATACTGACTTGATGGCACATAATAAATAAATCCAATCTACATAAGTGATAACCAGCACCTTGATTTTTTTACCTAGAAACTGACTAGCACTAATGCAACATCTATCACTGGCATACGTCTTTAATGTGAAATGCATTCTGCAGGTTTCTGTGGAGCCTGCTTCTAAATGAATAGGTTTGACTTCATAATAAGGTGTCACACAGGATGTGGTACAAGAAAGAAGCATCCCTGTGCTTTTTTTTTTTAAATAGAATTTTTATTAATTTTTATAATTAAACAATAAGTAAAATGATGCATTTGTATACACAAACAAAAAAAACAATCCAAATCAATACATTATCGGAAATGCTCGGCAGTCCCCGCCTTGCCTCCGCCCTCATCCACTTTCCTTTCCTTCCTCCCTCTAGCCCACAACCTCTCCTCCTTCCTCCTCCCCACTTCTACATCCCCCCTCTGCATCCCTGTGCTTTTTGTAATCAGCAATCCAGAAGCAATACAAAGGGCAAATGTACAGTAATCATTTATTTATTCATTTCATGTATTTGTTCTATTTATATCCTGCTACAATCCAAGCCATTCTTAGCAAATTACATGGTACAGTATAGAAGCTAAAACACCTGCCATAAATCTTAAAAATATAGCACCACAATTTAAAATAAACCCTGAGGTGAATCAAGAATCACAGGCAGAAATAACAGAAAGTTGGGCATTCAGATAAAAGATGGCTAAAATTCATGTGCAGTTGGACAGGTGCTTTAGAGCACAATAGCTGAAACTGACTAGTACAGTATTTGTAGTTGAAACTGGTAAATGCAGGGAAGCTGGCAAAAAAGCAGCAAAAGTTTAGTTTATCATTCTTCATTTTCTGGAAAGTACACATGGTAAAGTGGGTCTGCTGCATCAAAAGATAAATAGCCTCATGGATGCCATTTCAAAATATATTAGATACAGATTTATTTAAATACACTCTTTCTTGAAATCATGCTGGTTTTCTTTCCATTCCTCTATCTTCTTGAAAGCCTGGGAATAAATTAATTTCCCTTCAGGAAAGTATTAATGGAGAGGACAAATGTAGGAGGCTATCTAGTAACCAGAGGAATGCCTTCCCAACTCTGCTCACATCTACAATAGGTCAACTTGTCTTATCTCCAAGATAATGAATTGACAAAGGCTTACAAAGGTAGGAGAGAAGTGGAATGTCAGAGCTGCTATCATACACTTGAGCTTTGCATCTGCTAGCTGCCAGTCTGCTTTGAACTATGGGGAGAGGGAGCTGGTTGGGGGGAGGAGTTAACTACTCATCATACCTTCCAGAGACACCAACTCAAGGTCAAAATGCTGGGAATGGAATGGCTCACCAACCAGCCTGCTGTTGAACAGATAGTTCCCAAAACAATTTATTCAAATATAATTGGACAATAAGGGACCAGCAAGGAGGAGGAACTGGGGAGGAACTGGACACAGAAAGTTAACAGGGAAAATCTGACAGGCAAACTTTAGTTCTGGCTTTGCTGTACTGTAATCCACTTGGCCTTTAGTAAACTAAACCTTTCACACTGAATGGAGTTAAGAGTTGTTCTTACTTAAAGGACCAAGGGGCAGGACTGACATAGTACTGGTTTCAAGGAGAAAATAATCCTCAATCCAATACTCTTACTGATGACTCAAGGCTGTTGGATGCTTGAGCCAAGGATTGGATGAAGTTAATGTTGTGCAATTAGGGGGAATGTTGAGAGTGTCAGAGCAAGTAGAGGTAGGACCAGGGAACAGTACATATGGGGAAAGGGAATTATCTTTATAGAGCAGCCCTCAACCCAAAGCAGTTATTGATCACATTTTTTTTGGGGGGGGGGAGTACTTTGCTTCCATTAGAAGCACAACTATAAAGCAAAATGGCATTCTTGGATTCTTTGAAAACAATGTATTTTCTCTAGGGGTGTATAATTGAATAATAACTTTATCTTTTTTCACAAACTATCTTAACAATTCCACTTTTGAGATTTCTATATATTGTGTAAAGTTATATATCCAATTCCAAGGAACTGTGGAGACCATAGCTTCCTGGGCAACATCAAATTCTACTAAGAATTCAGGTCAGGGACGCCTTCCTTGTTTCCTAGCAACTTAGGATAGTGGGGCTTTTTCTGTTTGAATGAAATCATTCAGCAACGGAGACCAGGATCATTTGCACGGCCCAAGGCGATATTTTGCATACACTTGGGAAGAAGCTCTGTAACATAACACATTCCTGCCTGTTTATAAGAGGAGGGCTCTGCCTTTTAAATCAGATTGAACCAACATTACTTCAGCCTCCTTTAATGTGAAGAATAGGATTAGGATTCCGCTTTTATTACTGCTTTGTTGGTTGTCAAGGTGAGGCATTTATCTTCCAACCATGTACTTTCCTAGTTACTGGATTTGGTAAATCAAAACTGTATTCAGGTAAAGATTTCCACATCCTATTGATCTAACTGAAGCAAAGATTTCCAAAGATTTCTTGGTTACTAATGCAAACAAAATAGAACAGGGCAAGCATTTTCCTATTGTACTTAATGTAATTAGGAATACTGCCAAATGTTGCTTATTGTTTCCATTTTATAGTGTAGGAAACAGCCTTTACATTTTTCTGATTAATCAGGTTTGATGTAATTTTAAAAAAACTTTGCTGGAGTGATAGTATAGTATATGTATATGCCCCCCCCAGAAAATTGATACATTGTTGATTATGATAATATTGTAAATAAACTGCATACATTTTTAATGTTTTAAAATGAGAATTCTCTAGAAATGCAGCTTTTCAATGTTATTTTGCTTATTTAATTTATAATTATGCAAAGCAGACTATGAATTTTAAATTTAAATTTCTAAAATTTCTTTGTGTTTACTGCTTTTGTTTATGATCAACATTTTGTGAATTACGTATTAGAATCTTTGTTTAATTTATTTAAATAAATGAATGTTTGTTTAGATAATGAAATCAAATCATACTTTGGCTAGATTCCCAGGTCACATTATACTGTAATTTTGTTTGTTTAATTTTGGCTTGGCATGATATTGAAACAGGTTTTGGGGCTTGCATGTTATAGATTATGGTTTAACATTATGTCTGTCAGATTTCCTGGAAAAACCTAAGCAGAAATTCCAGGATATTAGCTGCTAGATTTGAACACAGCTAGAATCTCTTAGAGATATGAAACTTTATTGCATATTAGAATAAAGGAATTGGTTGACCTTTATGCTTTTTCTTCCTGCCACTCTTCAAAAACTGCTCATGACCTTGAAATTGAGTTGTTGCTGATCATTTATATAACTGATTTATCTCCTCTTGGAAACACTGGCTGTTGTTTAGGTTCTTACTATATGAACCACACCACTGTGGAAGGCTATCAGATCTGTGCTACAAAAGTCCAGAGGACTCTGAGAGTTTGATGTATACTGCTGTCTAGATTTTAGCTTCCCAAATTGGGTAGCCCTAGTCCATAATGATTCGTTCAAAATATAATTAAAATAAATAATAGACACGATGTATGAAAACAGCCTATGTTTAAGCCTTCACAAGGAGTTTCAAAGGAAAAAAATATTTTGCAACATAGTTCTGAGAATTGTTAAATTATATCTCTGCATTTCTGGTTTGCTGTGTCAAATTAGAACATTTATCATTGCTACTATGGGAAGATTGAAGCTGTATATTTTTATTGTAGAAAACAAAAACTATTTTTCTGAATTCTGAAAACAGAATAGGTGCTGGGTTTGTGGAAAGAATAGCATCTTGCTAGCATTTGTAAATTTTATTTTAAATTAGTATAAGAGGGTAAGTTTGGTGTGAAAATTGGAACATGCTCTACCCCTAAAAGCGTTTAGGCAATATAACTTTTGTTGCAAATAAAGAGAAAACAGTAACATGTGTTAGGTTGATTTTTATATTTGCTTATCAACAGGATATTCAAGAATACCATAGAACAGATGACCATGACTTCTCCCTTTTTCTGTGGATTGCTTTCGTGGACCTTAAATTCAGTGTGGTTCCTTGATCACAAATAAATGATCTTCACAAACTCAATTTTGCAAGACTAAAAAGCTAATACTGCAGAAACTGTGCTAGATCACTCAAGGTCAGTAATATCTCCTTGTACTACTTCTTGCCATATTAGTACTATGTTTAGGCAATTGCTTTTTCTTTTCTCTTAATTGTGATAAGCCAATATGGACAATGGGTAATCATATCTTTACCACTTTTACTGAATCCAGTGTAAACTATCCCTGCCAATAATAATAATAACAACAACAATATTTCTAAATTAACAGAGTTGTAGGGCTCTTAATTACTCAAATATGAAGTCACTACACTGTTAGCTCTTGCCCTCCTTTTCAGCAATTATATGGCCAATGCAATAAAATAAAACAAGATATTATGTTTACCCAGATTACAACATGATAGATCCCTATAAAAATAGATTTAGTTATCAGTGCATACATTGCTATTTAGTTAATTAAAAATTATTGATAATATCTGCTAAAATAACTAAACTCATGACCTAACTATGGCTTACCAGATACTCTCCTACATTCTGTATTAGATTTATCAGATTTACTCTGAGATGCAGAACTAGAAATCTAAAGTTGAAAAAGCTCTATATGTTTCTGCTTAGAGGATTAGTATGAATAAGTAAGGCATTTAATGAGCTAGTTCCAACTAGAAAAGCCAGAGATATCCTAGAAAGAATCTGGGTGGGACACCTATTCCTTCTTTACCAAATGCCTCTCTTTGGATGGGTGGTCTTCAGGTAGAGGCATTATAGAAAAAGAAGGCAAGAAGCCAACTATGCGACAACAGCATCCATAGTCTTCACGATCGCCTTGCTCACAATGTTACACTGAGAATCCTCTCAGAAAAGCATTTGGGCCTCACTGCTTCAGGAAAAAAGCTGGACTCTCTCAGTTGTACATGCTCCTCAACCTTTATTTCCAGAGCTTCTGAGACTGAGGCACAGAGATAGATATGATTTTCTGGAGCAGCTGACTACTTTAGTGCCTTTTTGAACCTTCAGAACAAGACTGTGAAGCAAATAGTGGTGTGGTCCTAATCTATTGCTTGAGTCTGTTGGTGTTAGAACTGCCACCTCATGCCTGAGCTCTGCAATTGTTTCAGTACTAATCTGCCATGAACCCTGGGAGGGGGAGCATTTGGAGGGAGAGTGAAAGTTAAGAAAGTGAAGATGGCATTTCAAGGTCGCTCTGCTATGAGAAGAATGCAGCTGCAAGTCAGCCTACAACCAGAGCAGCCATTTCTTTGAAATTGATTGGAGAATGAGGGGACAGCAATGAGAAGTGGGAAAAAGGTTTCACTTGGGTTTTTTGGCATGTGAATTTCAATTCTGGCTTTGCACTACTGTATTTCACTTGGCTTCTAGTAAACTGTACCTTTCTCAACCCGATACTGTTAAAGATCATTTTTACTTAGAAGCTTAAGTTGAGGTAGGGTTGACATTTGGAGAGAAAAGTGCTAGAGAGAACACAAATTGCTTTCAGTAAATGCTTCCATAAGACAGAGGTTTTACTTGCATGAGTGGGGAAGCATCAAGAGAGAGAAATTAGGCTGTCTCTACTTATATGCGTTTGCATATGAAATTAATTCAGTTGTGAGCCTTTTTTCAGGATCATGATGGAATAAAAATTAAATTAAATTCTAAGATTTTTGTGATTACAAGTAATCCTTGAAATTACATGTAATTCCCATGAGTAAAGGTGTTTAAAAATAAAGATATAATAAACATTGCAGATAAGAAGCCTTATTTCTTAGTATCTCCTGCACTGAAGATGTTATCTACTATTATCATTCAAAGTTACAACAGAACTGAAAAAAGTCACATATGACCATTTTTCACACTTATAACCATCGCAGCATCCCCATGGTCACATGATCAAAGTTCGGATGCTGGGCAACTGATTCATGATAGTTGCAATGTCCTGGGGTCATGTGATCACCTTTTGTTACCTTCTGACAAACAAAGTCAATGGGGAAGCCAGGTTCACTTAACCACCATGTTACTAACTTAACAACTGCAGTAATTCATTTAACAACTGTGACAAGAAAGGTCATAAAATGGGGCAAAATTCATTTAACCATCTTGCTTAACAATGGAAATTTGGGGCTCAATTGTGGTCGTAAGTCAAGGGCTACCGTACTAGGTGAATAATAAAATAATAAAAAAGGATTGGTTGGAAACAAAAACTATTACATCATAAATGAATGCTAGAGCAAATGTTTCATTTAGCAATGAAAAATTTTGGCTTGATTGTGGTTGAGAACTACCAGCATTCTAAATGGCGTTGGAGCCTCGTTTTTCTGTTGTTATTGGCCTCATTTGCTACTCTTTACTGGTTTTCTTATTTGTTCGTGGTTGGGTTTTTTTCTGAATTGTATTGTATTTTATTCTTTTGGTTATACTGTGAAGAGCCTTGTATCATTTGGAGTTGGGTGGCAATTAATTTCCAAAGTAACTATTTCTGCAGTCAAGATATAATAGTGATAGTTAGATCATTTTGGATCTGCTATCTGAATTGATTGGTGCTTATTGATTTTTTTATTTATTTGTAATAAACAAATTTGAAATAAACATTGTTAAAGCAAATTTTTCTATATTTTCTATAAAATAACAAGATTACAAACCCTAAGCAATTTTTATGAGTTCAAAGTTTATCACATGATATCTCTTAAACTGCACCAAACAAAGCAACTGGGGTGTTCTCCCTATCCTCTGTAGTTGGCAGGGTTGTCTCTCTTTCCCTTTTTATAAATTGGGACCACAATTGCCAAGCCCCAATCCTCTGGTGGAGTCAATATAGTGAATAGCACTGCCAGGACGGGTATCCACCACTCCATATTATTCTTTAGTAATTCGGCCGAAATAAAGTCATCTCCTGGAGCCTTCCTGATCCTGAGTTGGCCAATGAGGGATTTAATTTCAGACTCTGAAACTGGAGGCCACTCAGGTAAATCCTTCATTATAGACCTTGTACTCTCACTGGAGGATCTTCATACATTCTCCGAAAATGAGTTCCCAGGTTATAGGAGATATATGACAGTCTAATGAGGTATAGATTCTTTCAGAGTGGCAAGCTATTAGATGCCAAAATAAAGAGGAGTTCTTTTGCTTTGCTGCCACGATGAGTTGTTCCCAGGAAGACCTTGTGTCTTGTCTATTCTTGAATGCAATCAATTGCTTGAATGGTTTTTTAAGTGTAAGTAACTGTTTAAGAATTGCTTTATTGCCATATCCAGTCTTGCTTTTGGACTCCTGGTATGCCAAGTTAAGGGCTTTCTTGGCTTCTACGCAATCCTTATCAAACCATGGTTTGGAGGTGGTATAAGACCTCTTAACTGAGAAATTTTGGTCATGTGGTTGTAGCTCATAAACTAAACATTTATATAGTTCTAATAAGTCTTGAGTTGGGTTGGCTGATATAAAGGTTGCGCGGATTTTTTGAAAATTATCCTCTGTTAGGGCTCTTTTTACCTTCTGATCAAGTTGTTGGGTCCATTTAACCTGGCATCTTGTTAGGCCGGCTGTAGAGATTGCAGGGATAAAATGGTCCTTGAAGGGTATCTGCCTGATAAAGGGCTTCATGTACATACACATAGGAAGATGATCATTTTCTAGGTAAGGCAGGACTTCAAAATTTTCTATATAATATACTAAGTCCATAGAAGTTAAGATGTAGTCAATGGTGCTAGTTTTGTAATCCAAGTCTCTTGCACCAATATAATATCCTTACCTTTCAGAGGATCAGAGTGATTAAGGCCTCTGAATCGATACCACCTGGCTACATTCCATGACATGATGTTTAAAGTGGTTTTTTTTGCACTGGCCTTCATATAGTCAGTTCAAATTCTCCGTAGGGGCACTTGTTGGAGGATAGTTATAATAATTGTTATTTGATGCATTAGATTGAGTAGTTATTGTCAATGCTTCTTTTAAATCATCCAGTCTCTGTGTATAATTAGCTTGCTCAGGTTCTGACAATATATCGTTAAAGTCTATCAACATTTCTTCTGGGACACCCTCAGCAGAATCAGTGACTGTGGGTAACTCTGTTTGTGGATCACTTCTCTGTTTTCTCAAGGTTGATTCAGCTGCCCATGCTTCAAACGTATCAGTATGAGGTCTGTTGCCACTTGGATTTAAAGCAATAGTTCCCTCATGGAGAGATAGAACCAGGAGTGGGCGCAGGTTCCCTGAGCGGAAGACACGTATTGGAAATATTGAAAAACTGCTCAGGAAGTGCTTCATTCTAAAAAGCATTGAGGGAATTATGGACTGCTTGAAGGATAACAAAATTCGCATACATTGCCTTCTTGCTGGCAACCATTCTGCATGTAATAAATCAATCTGAGTATATTCGCAGCGGAGCAGCTGGCTCAGAACTGTCTAACAGCTTTTCTATCACTCCAACGTCCTCTATTCCTTCTGTTGTCGTAGATTTGCAAGGTAACTTGGTTGGTCTGTAAACTGAGGTTATATTGGTCACTTCTAGAACTATCTGATTGAATGTTGTTTTCTTTGTGGATATTCTTTCCTCTCTCGTTTATAGAATGGAGAGAGGGGCCTATTCTAGTTTCCATTTCTGCATTAGGCATCCCATGTCTATCATTATGTGTTCTCCTGGGTCCTTCTGCAATGTTTGTTTGACTGCTGATAAACTTTGCAAAAGACTCTTTTAAGCAGTCAACCTTATTTGTGACAATTGATAAAAGTTCGTAGATTGAATTTACGGTTTGAGCTGTGAGCAAACATTGTCTGGAAAGGATATCTGTTTCATTCTCCCTTACTAAGTTTGTTACTATCCCATCCTGTGCAAGAAAAGTGGGTGCTGAATTCCAGGGAGGGGAGCTATTTTCTGTGAGAGAAACAGAAAGTTCTATATGCTGTTTGCTTTCAAGTTCAGTTTGTAAATCCCATTCCAATGAGTCACATACAGATGAATTACTTACTGGAGCAGGCTATTTACAGCGAAATCTTCCATTTTCTGCTGTTTCAGTGGCTTGGAAGAACTCTGTGCTGCCGAGTGAACAGCTGTCTCTTTTTCCTTTTCCCCATTCTTGGTAATCATGGCTTGTAGAGTTGTTAAAATGTAGTTAAAACAATGGTAGCCTCTCCAGTATATATCCTTTATAAAAAGTCTTTGATTATTATAAAAGTCAAATAAGGGTTAAAACAGATTTAAAAATAGGTTATAAATGGGTTAAAATAGGTTAAAAATGGGTTAAAAGTAGGTTAAAATGGGTTAAAAGTAGGTTAAAATGCAGTGTTAAAAGGGGTTAAAAAGTTAAAATAAAAATAAAAGAAACGGAAAGAAAACTTTTACTTTTGGAGGAGCTCTTTACAGCCTTTGCTGCCTGTCCACCCCACAGATTGAATTATTTATTAATTGAAAAGTTTTATACAGCTGCCCATCTTATAACCAACTTTAGGTAGCTCCCAATTAGAAATTAAAACAATATACAAAACCCTATTAAAATTATAAAACTAAATATATTAAAATATTGAAAACAACAAAAACCTGGTGCCAAGTCAAACTTCATATGTACAGCTGAGCTATCTAATCTTAGCCAAGGGCTTGGGGGAAAAGCCAGGTCTTCAATGCTTTATGAAGGCTAGTAGGGTACAGACCTCCTGAACTTCATGGGGCAGAAGGTTATGGAGATTCTTCATCATCCAGGTCATGGTTGTTCCTAACTGAAAAAACTTCTTGGGTGAGAAGCAAAACATTTTCAAGGGAAAAAAAACCCAAGAAAGTTCAGTTGCCTTTTGAAAAGCACCTTTGGGATATTCATGGGGCAGGGGCTGCCACAGAAAAGGTGTATTTCCTAGCTCCTATCTTATGGCAATATTTAGGGGAAGGGATTAGGAGCATGCCCATCATATCTGACCTGGTAGGATGGATAGATGTACTTAGGGAATGATGGTCCCACAAATAATCTAGCTCTGTGCCATATAGGGCTTTAAAGGTAAGGAGCATCACCTTGGATTGCACCCAGAAACAAAAAGGAAGTCAGTGCAGCTTGCACAACAAAGATGTTACATGGACAAACCTAGGAGCCTCATCACTATGCATGATGCTGCATTCTGGACCAGTTGAAATTTCCAGGTGGTCTTCAAGGATATAAGTATGTTGGTTTATAGGATTTCAAGCAGTTCCAATAAGAGAAGAGAGCTTTATGGCACCATAAGAATGCTATATGAATATTTTAGCATTATGTTCCATGTTAAACTCCAGCTTGTTCAGCTTTGTGTTAGATCCTTGGGGATTACGTCAGATGAGGAAATGTGTTTATCACATAGTGGTTATTATTATAGTGGTTATTATTAAAGTCAAATAAGCTTGGCTGCCTAGAATTATTACAGCAAGTTGACATTGTTTTCATTTCATAGATAATGTCTCCTAGGGAAGTTAGTGATTTTTGCTGTTGAAAGTCTGAGGACAGGGAGACTTTGCCTGCCATAGCATTCCATGTATCTTCTCTTCAAAGGACATCTAATCCCTTTTACATTCCAATTTCAATTGGCAATTAAGGATGACCTAATGTGAAGCACATCGATGTACACCCCAATATTTCCATAGATAAAGAATACAAAATAATGTAGAATAACTTTTTCAAAAAGCAAATTCGCTGAAAAACATTAAATAAAAAAGAAAAAGAAATAAAAGGCATTTGGTTAAAGTAATAAATATTAAAATAATAAAAACCT